TTGTCTGGAAGTGAGTTTCAAGGTCTTGTGTAGTTTAAATATATGAGACATTAAATGAGATACAGCATTAAAGGAATGTAAGCTGTTTAGGTGCTTTCGAATGGTTTCTCGGCAGTTATAGGGCATTTCTGTGTGCTTGCTGGGGTGTTCTTGTTGGTTATGCTCGACTAAGTGGTTCCTATGTTTTTTTATTATATACTACAGAGAGAGAGAGACAGTTAGCCAGACATATGTTATTATATACATATATAATATACAGTAAAATAAACTATATTCAAAGTCAACTACCTGTTAAGCAAAAAAAAAAGGATGTTTGTTGATATAAAGTTTTGCTGAACTTTATCCTGCTGTCAGTTTTCTCATTAAGTTAAGACGCAGACTTTCACCTCTGAAAGCAAGAGTGTCTGGAAAGTGCTGGATTTAAAATAAAGATCTTCATCTGAAAGCCTCAGGCCTGTCGTGCTGGATATCCTCCCAGTCTACTGCTGGCCAAACCGCACACTGTGCCTTGGGCTTCACGCTGCCTCCCATTTTGCTCTGATACATGAGAGAGGAAGATATGCGGCAGCCACCTAAAAGCTGCTGACTGAGCTCTTATAGTGTGATTTCATTCAAGGAGTGAAATCTTTGTTACTGTACAAAGATTTAACAAAACAATGCATTGTAGTGCTCAAAGACAGCTAAAACAAAATTATTACTGATAACATATAAGTGGAAATTCTTAAAAAAATAAATAAAAAGTGTGATAGGACGGGCGCATAAGTATTTAACTAATGGGACATTAGTGAAGAAAATTTGTCTCGCTCCAGTGCAAAAACTCTTGAAGAGATGAAATTTCCAAGTACATGTTTTATCTTGAACAATTCATCATGTATTAAAGGGTGGGTTGCAAGGCATGACATTGTTTGGTTCTTACCACCAGCGGAATGCTAAACATGCACATCACTGTTCAGTCCTTCATTTTATAAATAGTCCATATCCATGACCTTCCCGTGGAAATATGCTGAATGTCATAGTAAAATCATTGTTTGGGATATGCACGCTAGGAGAATGTTGATGTGAGTAGTTTAGCCTAGCTTTGGGTAACAGATAAGGGGCGGCAAGGACATCTAAAATCCTGGGAATTCAGATATTAGAGTATTTTGTGAATGTGGAGTGATTATTCCTGACCTTGAATTTGGCCTTGCAGGAGTACAGAATGAAAATGTGTCCACTGGTGCCTTAGGGTCCAAGACAAACCAAAATCTGAGGGCTGATGTACCTGCAACACCAGAACAAATGTTCAACCACTAGTGTACACATATGAGCATGATTCACTCAAATTCATTCATTCAAACATCAATTTCATAATGATTTTCAGTTATATTTTTGGAAAATATAAAAATAAAAATAAAACTATTAGATTTAAGATAATATAAAATAAAACTAAATTTAATTCATTATAAAAAAATCAATTAAAGTATTATAATTGAAATGGAATTCTGATGTTATATCTTGGATTCAAATTTTTTGTCAACTTGTTTTTTGTTTGTCAATCAGCACAAGTTTTGTGTTTCTTTTTGGAATTTATTGGTCGTAGGCCTCATTAATCTGAACTTATGCAACTCAACTTTGAGAGAAAAACAAAAAACATTAATTGTGGATAAATGTGGCTATATTGACTCATTGCAAAAAAACAGACTCATTGTCTGTTGCAAAAAGAAATACAAAACCTGTGCTATTTGAAAGATAAGTTGATAAAAATTGAATCCAATATTTGGTAATAATATAGCAGAACAAGAAATTTAACAGCAATTTTTTACACCACAAGTGTAACAAGGCGGCAAGTTCTTATGCCCTGTGTGAGCAAAGTCTGTAAGTTTTAGTCCAATGCGATAAAACGATAACTAGCATCTTCGGGAAGAAGAAAATCCTCTCCGGGTCAAAATGAACCGAACACAACATGAGAGTTACACCCGTCTATGTCTGTAATAGTTCAGTTAGCAAATGTGGAGAGAAAAAAATCTACTTTCAAAGTCAAAAGACCCATTTCGAAATAGAAATAAAGGTCAGTCCAAATAGAATCAACAGCTTGTGTCTTCTGAAGAGGTCACACTTACTTCTCTACAAAGTCAAGTCTTTGATTATTGTCATTACATGTGAGAGAAAGGCAGTGGAACTGCATCTGCCAAGGGCACAAGCACAGAGGCAATGCATCACCCACTCCCACTGTCTTTCAGACATGCAGATACAGACAGTCAGGCGTTCCTCAGGGAGTCCTATGTGTGTCGTCTGACACAGCCACTAGCTACCTGACAATACTCAGTTTATTCTGCAGCCAGGCTCAGACAGACAAAAACTAGGTTGAACAGAATTTATGCTGAGGATATTTTCGGGAGATGATGAGGGAGGGCTGTTTGTGGAAGGAAATGAAAAGAAATCACAGTTCCATAATGCTAGGAATTTAACACGGCATGCTGTGCTTTTGAAAACCATCCAAAAGCAAATCAACTGAATATGAACTCTTCAACTCCAGTTCATTTGAATAACAGAATGATTAAAAATCAGCTCAAAATTAAGTTCAAAAGATGGCTTCTCCAATTGTCATGGCACATTTCAGTTAATCTGTCCTTCCTTTAAGAACGAAATAGCACTTTTCTCCTGTGCTGTTATGGTTAATGTCTGGCATGTAGGATGATGTCAATCACTGTTTTGTCTATGTGCCGTTTCCCCATGACTTTGGTGCCACCTAGTGGTACATTCACTATAAAAATATTGTAAAGACAACCTTACTCTGTGCAGATAATATTAGAATATATTGAGATAAAACAGTATTATTATACAAATAATTATACTATAATACAGATATTCTCCTTATATATATTTTTCCATGCAAAAGTTTAGGGTTAGTAAGATTTTTTTTTTTTTTTTTAAAGAAGTGTCTTATGCTCACCAAGACAGGATTTGTTTAATCAAAAATACAGTAAAAAATACAGTGTTGTTAACATTTTAAAAATATTTTAATATGTAATTTATTCCTGTGGTGGCAAAGCTGAATTTTCAGAAGCCATTACTCCGGTCTTCAGTGTCACATGATCCTTCAGAAATCATTCTAATATGCTGATTTGCTGTTCAATGTTGAAAACAGTTGTGCTGCTTAATGTTTTTGTGAAAACCATTATACATAGCTGTTCAGTCACAAAAACCAGCAATCATGAATTATATTATGCCACCGCACTAGCATTATGTGCTTATTATCAATTATGAAATGTGTTTTCATAAATAGCAGCAATTCTAATAAAAATAGCAGAAGCATTTACAATGATGTAAGTGAATAGAATTACTCATGTTTTGGTATTTATCGGTCCTTTTAAGTGTCAGGGGACTGGATGCTATTAGTACCAATCAAATTATTTATTTGTAATTTTTTGTGGTGGCAAAGCTGAATTTTCAGAAGCCATTACTCCGGTCTTCAGTGTCACATGATCCTTCAGAAATCATTCTAATATGCTGATTTGCTGTTCAATGTTGAAAACAGTTGTGCTGCTTAATGTTTTTGTGAAAACCATTATACATAGCTGTTCAGTCACAAAAACCAGCAATCATGAATTATATTATGCCACCGCACTAGCATTATGTGCTTATTATCAATTATGAAATGTGTTTTCATAAATAGCAGCAATTCTAATAAAAATAGCAGAAGCATTTACAATGATGTAAGTGAATAGAATTATTTATTCAAAGGAGGCTTTTGCGTGTATCTTTACAGAAGCAGCAAAGAGAGCCGCGTCAGAAACGTGCGTGGCGCGGCTGGAATAAACCATAGACTGTATAAAAATATAAATACAAGCACTGAGTGGCCGCAGTCTACGCGTTTCCATTAGGCGTATTTTCAATTCGCAATTTCAATTTGCGCAATTTGAAGGGTAGGCCTAATGGAAACGCGCCTAGTGTTTTTAACGAATCGGTTGAGTGAATGATTTTATGATTCACTCATATACACAAAACAGTGTTGTTGTTAACTAATACTAAATTAAAACTTTTTTTGTTTATTGAAATAAATATGAAATAAAATAAATTGGATCAAAAACGTAACTTTAAAAACGTTAAAAGAGCATATTAAATGTTGCCTTTGCAACTAAAAGCAACAAATTTTAAGTACTGAAATTACTAAAACTTAACCTTAAATAAAATAGTTTAAAACTAAAATTGAAATATTTAGCACATAATTTAGAACAAAAGCACATATAGGCCTAATAAAATAGCTAAACCCTAAGATAAAATTAAAATGAAAACTCAATATAAATGATACAAAAGTTCATTCAAAATAATAATAAATGCTATAACCGTTACTAAAATATCATTGGTCTGCGTTATACAAGCAGTGGTCCTGCTGGATTGAGCACATGTGGAATGTCGCGATCACTAGTTGTCTATTTAAATAATCCTGAAAATGTAATAGTGTAAATATCATAGTGTAGGCCTAAATCATTTTAATCAAGACATCGCTGGGGAAAATCTGGGCATTGATGGGTTAAGCAATATGATACCTTTCTGTGTGATCGCTTGCGCTCATCCCACATTCTCTCCACACTCTCTGTGAGGCTGGATTACTATAGATTACCATTACAATGAAAGAGGGCAAAAACAGGTGTGCACACGCTCACTCACATTCTCATGCATCACTGTTCACTTGTGCCTGAAGTGGACTGCTGCCCGTGCCAGCAGGGATCTGTCATGTGCCTCATTCCTGAAGTTACAGCCCTGTCTTGTCTGTTCGCTCATCGTGGCTTGTGTGTGCTTGCTGAAGATTGTAGTATACGAGGCAGAACCGATGTCTTGCAAGGTATGATAGGATACTGTACAGTCTTTGAAACAGTACATTTTGGAGTTTTAATCGAATTTTGTGAAGCATATTTTGATTTCTAACAGTTTGATAATGTCGTCGCAAGTTTACAATTTTTTTTTTTTTTACAATATCACTCTTTTTACATGTTTCTCTGGTGCTTGTATTATTGTAGGTATCTTTGGCCAGCGCCTGGAGGACACAGTACAGTATGAGAGAAAGTTTGGACCCCGACTGGCCCCTCTGCTGGTGGAGCAGTGTGTGGATTTCATACGGGAGCAGGGTCTGAAAGAGGAAGGTCTCTTTAGGATGCCAGGACAGGCCAACCTGGTCAAAGAACTGCAGGATGCTTTTGACTGTGGGGATAAGCCTCTGTTTGACAGGTGAGACAAGTTCAAAACTTCCTTTTACATTTACATTTAATCACTCAGCAGACCATTTCATTCAAAGTGACTAACAAATGAAGAATAGCACAAGCAATTTATCATAAAACCCAACAATATTTCCACTAAATGATGCCAAGTTTCAGTTAACTAGCACTCAAGCTGTAGCAGAAGTCAAACGCAGACAAACAGCTTTCTTTGGAGGGACCAATAAACTGATTAGTAGAAACAATTTAGACTGATGTGGATATCAGTGTTATAAAGAGCACTAAGATGCTCTACCAGTTTAGACCAGCATGAGTTTCTACTCTGTATCTAGGCTGGCTTATGCTGGTTAGGTGCTTGACAGTGTGCTGGACCAGTTTACCATACTTGTCTAGACACGAAAACTAAACTGATGTATTTGTGTATCCCCCTGACCTGTGTGTGACCTCTTGCAGTAACACTGACATTCACACAGTGGCGTCCCTCCTGAAGCTTTACCTCAGGGAGTTGCCAGAGCCTGTGATCCCCTTTAATAAATATGAGGACTTCCTAACCTGTGCACAGCTTCTGCTAAAAGATGAAGAAGTGGTGAGTCTGCTATACATCAGTCTTCAATGAGATGAAGTTGAATTAAATAATGATTGTCCTTGCAAAAAAGAAGTGAACTTTACTTTAGCATATGTTTAAGGAGTATTAGAGTATTTATTATTGAAATAATATACTTTAAAAGAATATACTTAAATGTGTACTCTTTTCAGACACTTGATTGCATGCTATTTATAATATAGAATATATTACCATATTGTATTTCAAATTTATATTAAATGCAATTAATTGAAGTTTAAAGTGTTTTTGACACACTTACTGTAAGTGGAACTTATCTACATCTTTATGTCATTTCAGAATTTCTAATTTTCATTTCTTCTGACAAACAAACTAAAATATACTTTACTTTAAAATATATTAACATTTAATGTAATATAAAAAAACAGTGCAGTTAAAATTATAATCAAGTACTTTACATGTGAAATGAGTGTTTTACTCTAAACTAAAGCATGACAGAAGATTACACTAAACTGTTAATTTTACATTTTTACAATGTGTTTAGAAACATGAACGTGTACTCTATGTACAATTTGTTGGATTTTTATTTCATTAATAAAATATTATCTGCAAGTACAATTTTTTTTTATATGCTTTTAAGATTTATAGTATACTACAAGGGCACATTCAGTACAATTAAAGGTGGTTTTGAAAAGCTCAATGCATTTTTTTCCCCCACCAAAAACCTTGTATCCTGGATTTGTAATGTATCTTGTTCCCATGTGTCTTCTAAAGGGACTCAGTGAGCTTGTGAAGCAGGTGAACACTCTTCCTCAGGCTAATTATAATTTGTTAAAGTACATTTGCAAGTAAGTGAATATATAACATCTCTTCAGTTTTCTTGTACATGGCGATGTTGTTGAAACGATTCCTTTACTTATTTGAATGAATGGTAAATTAATGTCTGTTGTATTCACTGTATGAATTCAATGTAGATTCTTAGATGAGGTGCAGTCACACTCGCATGAGAACAAGATGAGCGTTCAGAACCTCGCAACAGTTTTTGGACCAAATATCCTTCGGCCTAAAGTAGAGGACCCTGTTTCAATGATGGAAGGTAAGTACGTCTGAAATTGAGAATATTTGGCCGAGATACAACTATTTGAAAATCTGGAATCTGAGGGTGCAAAAGAAAATCCAAATATTCAGAAAATCGCCTTTAAAGTTGTCCAAATGAAGTTCTTAGCAATACATATTACTAATCGAATATATATTTATGGTAGGAAATTTACAAAATATCTTCATGGAACATGATCTTTACATAATATCCTAATGATTTTTGGCATAAAAGACAAATCGATCATTTTGACCCATACAATGTATTTTTGGCTATTGCTACAAATATACCCGTGCTACTTATGACTGGTTTTGTGGTCCAGGGTCACATATTTATCAGTTCAATATAATTCAAGTTGAAATGAATGGTACAGCCAGTTTGATTATTCTTCAATTTTTTACAGTGTAGTTATTTACATTTTTTTTTGTTAGGAACCTCCCAGGTTCAGCACCTGATGACGGTGTTGATCAGTGAACATGAGCGTCTGTATGTGGGGACTGAGGAAGATGTGTCTTCCGAGCAGACAGGAAGTTGTCTTCCAGGTCAGCAAGGCATGGCGGAGTGGATCTCCGATGAGGAGATGCTGAACTGCTCATCGCTGAGCCAGACGTCCAAAGTAGCAGATAGTGTGTGTGGCAGTGCCACGTCTTTAGATATCAATACAGGTGCCCCTACCATTGCCAAAATGACACCTCAGGGAAAAGCTGGGGTGACGGTGAGCCCCAGCAAACAAGCGAAATCCCTCCCCTCCTGGAAATACTCCTTCAAGAGCGGAGGAGTACGCGCTCAGCCTGCAAAAATTGGGGGCTCATCTGTGGACGTGTCCACCTTGCCCAGTACGGGCAACTGGTTGATGAACGGGCTTTCCTCTCTGCGCAGCCACCGGCGTACGTCATCCGGAGAGCGCATGGGTAAGGATTCAGCCCTGTCACACCGTCTGTCCACTTACGACAACGTGACCTCATCCAGTCTCAGCGTACCCAGCGTCGCAAGCACGCCCTGGTCCACATCCTCCAGTGAGATCTTAGTGGCCGACTCTGTGGGTAGTGACCCCTCTGGACTGAACTCTGTGAAGGTGGACTGGTCAGCTGGAGGATCTGTCCAAGGGCAAAGTGAAGACAGGAATTCGGAGGTCACTGAGAGCAGCGAAGCACTGGAAATGTATGTGAGCAGTGCAGGCTGCAGTGAGAATGGAAATGGAGAAGATGTGGTGAACGTCACAGGAGATACTGATATTAGCACGACAGCATTTAACGGCCTGGTAACAGAGCTGAAAGACGAGTTAAAGAAACAGAAGGCCAACTACGAAACTCGAATACGAAGGTATGTGTGAAATCCACAGCACATTGATAATAAGTATTTTGTCTTTAGACTTCATAAGGTAAAGTTTACTTAAAACACTTAAATTATACACTTTCTCATCATTACAGTTGTGTTAACATCTTTTTAAAAGCTGACGTGTATCGTTTTTTCAGTGTTCGGTATGAAACAAAAGTTGCAATCATTATTTATTACAGAACTTGAATTGATTGTATTGTTGTCACTAATTTCTGCAACCTCATGTGAGTGACAGGTTGCAAAAAAAATAAAAAATAGAACATCACTTATTACTGCTTACCTAAAGGCATAGTAATACGTTCACAACCTGATTGGTCGGGTTGAATGACGCATATTTTGTGACGGAACTTACCGAACACCCCAAAACAATAGGTGTGTTTGACTTAAAGCGGCGCTGCGCAGACCGATCAGTGAATGACAACAATGTACCCATTCACCTATCGATCTGCTCAGCGCTGCTTGAATCTTGGTATTATCAAAACATTGTTCTGTTTGAGAAACCTGACCAGACCAACACAGCAACAATGTCTCAACCAATGATGTGAGTTTGGGGCGTGGCTTTCTGTCTCTGCCAATTGGAGAGAGTGTTTGAGAAACCTGCTTGACAACAATTATTATTTTTGCATTTTCATTTGGTACTGCTAGCAACGTGGAAATAAAACATTTAACCTTTCACTTCATACGATCAACTTTTACAATAAATAGCAATTTAAAAAATTTTTTAAAGTGTATTTTTATAGTGTATTATTATTTTGGGTGAAGAACAAACCAAAATGTTTGTATCGTGTTTTCTTTGCATTTCCAACAATATCACGTGGGGTATTTGGCATGAACTTTAAAATGTAATTAACATAATATATTTTTCTAAGGCTAGAGGAATCAAGTGTCGCTATGCGTAACCAAATGGAGAGACTAGAGGAGGAGCTGGATCAGGAGAAGAAAAAGTATTGCATGTTGGAAATTAAAATCCGTAACTCTGAGCGGGCCCGTGAGGACGCAGAGACCCGCAACCGCTTGCTTCAGAACGAGATGGAGGAGTTCTTCTCCACTTTGGGAGATCTTACATTGGGAACAAGGACAAGCAAAATTTGACTGGACCTCTTAACAGGCCTCCTGATTTAACACTGAGAGACTATGTGTTTGTTGTAGATAGAATTTCGAAATCTCTCTGCTCATGCATCATGAGTATTCAGAGGTAATTTTGTGCTGTTTTGTTATGGCGACTTGGTCATGTGCAGCAGTTACACTTTTCTCTCTGATCTTCAGTCTTACATTTTAAAGGGATAGTTCACACAAAAATACAAATTCAATGGATATTTACTCACCCTCGTATCGTTCCAAACCAATACTGCTGTTTTTCTGCAGACAACAAAAGGAGAATTTAAAAGAAAGAAATCTTCACAAGTAGTGCACATTTTGTGTGTGGAACATACAATGTTCTTAATGACAAACTTGCCACTTGCTCTTTGTAAATAATAACAATATTTTCATTTTCAGGTGAACTATTCCTTTAAGGTGCCATTCAGTTATTAGCATTCATCACTTGCATAACCTAACCTGCACAGATAATACCAAAGCATGACATTTCTGACCAGACTGTTTCCAGTATTGGCTTCTCACATAAGGCAGGTCATTTTAATGGCATTTCCTGTTAATGCATGGTATGAAATATGTCCTGCTGAACTGTCTCTTGAGGTTTTGGGGAAATTATCACACAATCCTTTTTCATCCAAAGTCATCACACTGTGCCTCGCACTTCCAGATGAGATGAGATCAAATCTTACACCATCAGACCTCACAGACACAAACTCTTTTCAGCAAATCCCTTTATTGTAATTAAAATGCACTAGAAGAAAATACTTTATTTCAGATTAGATGAGGTAACACCATCCAAACTGTACAACTGTTAAAATCTCAACTCTATCGAAAGATAACTTCAGCTGCAAGATTGCCAAGGCTAGTATTTATTTAAGCTTATTAATGTACCTAGAACTATTTCTCAGGTGGTGTTTTTCAAAACACTCAATGAATGAGTGTCTTTATATAAAATAGATGATGGAACTAAGGCTGACATATACTTGAATGTGTTAAAGTAGCTTTTTTTTATAGTATGCATATATTGTATGTTCGTGTGGTCGTTTTTTTCTGTTGATTCCTGAATGCAGAAAGTGCCAAAGTAGAGGTCTTCAAAAAAATAGGTGTTTCATTTCAAATGAGGACTGACTAGTCTTCATAATAAATTGCCGTTGTCATCAAAACAATTTTGTGACTTTATGATCAAGGAAAGTCTGATGCTACATAATGAGTGATATAAAAACTGAATCATATACTGACTGATAACTGTGTTGTGCAAAATATATCTTGATTTCTATCAAACATTTAAAAAATGTCTAATTCACCCCAAAATGATAATTCTGTCGAGTACACTCATCTTTCTAAACATTTGTTCATCTTCAAAACAAAAATTAAGATTTTTTTAATGAAACCTGAAAGATTGCGGTTTTTCCATTAAAAAAGTCCATTCTACCAAAACGTCAATGCTTCAAGAAGTATGTACATTTGAGCTTATATTTACTATATTTCATGTGCTTTATATTTGTTCTCTGATCAGTGTTTATATGTGAATAAAAGCCTAAGTAAATCTGTTCATCATATAAAGCAGTTGTGTCTACTCAGAAGACTTGGCTTAAACCACTTGATTCAAATAAATATACTTTATGAACTTTTTTTGAAAAGGCGTCAAAAGTTTTGGTGGAATGGACTTTCAAAAGAGGGACAGAAATCAGTTTTTTATACCTTAATCTGTGTTTTGAAGATGAATGAAAGTCTAAAGGGGTTGGAATGACATGAGGGTGAGTAAATGATGACAATTTTCATTTTTGGGTGAAGTAACCCTTTAAAGTCTTTGGTAATGTATGTGGAAAGCAGCAACAATTTCCAAAGTTAAATAAAGTTGTTCACGGTGAAGAATGAAACTAAGAATAAGTTCTTGGAGAGGACAATAATGGGGGGGGACAACACACACAAGCAAACCCATTTTCCAACTGTTTATTTCCATTTTTCCAGTTGTTATGATGTTAACAGTTGAATTTCAGTGCATTCTAATGAGGTGGTAATATGCTAACCCTAATATAAAACAACTGCATCAGTTCGTGAAGTCTAGTAAACCCAGCACCATGATCTTATAGTTCTTGTACAGTGTTTTGGACTTAAAATCAAATGCTAAGCAGGTCATGCAAGATACTGCCCATCGTTGAGACTGGGGATGAGAAACTTTTCCTCTCCATTTGTATTATTCTCTTTTCTTTTTCTCGAAACAGCAAAACATGGACAGAACCCTTCCAAAGATTTTCACATAGATGTCGAGTCTGAAATAACACGGTTCATTGTTCAGCTTTGAGTTACTGCACATAAGCTGAAGAAAACAAAAAAACAGTCTAGAATAAACAAAGACACATACTCGTTGAATTGTATACACATACATACAGTACATTCTCACAGATTCAAACTACAGACACTTCAACACTCCTATTTTTCTGAATAAATAAAATGAAATCAAGGTTACAGTAATACTTGTAAAATGTGAGCTGTATGGCATCAAGTGTGAGGTAGTTCAGACTCGACCTTTAAACGGCTCTTGCGTTTCATGCCTAAAAGCTTTTGCTCTTTGCAGTTACAGCAGGCTCAGGCTTCCCAGGCAAGTATGTAGGGCTTGATATCATTGCCACTGTTAAGAGCACTTAAAACAAAACAACAATAATATAAAGTAATAGCAAAATATTTCGTTTTTTACCCTGTGCACAGGTAAATAAATCCAATGGGCTGAACCCTATACGTCAACAACATTCAGATTCCCACTTTCTACTCCACAACTTAGGCCTATTCAACATTCTCTCACCTTCGCATTCTAAAGCAAATGTAAAACAAACCCACTTCCCTGATATATCTTAAACTTTTTATCAAATCATGTGTGGAGCGCCACAGTTTTCAATGTCACAAGATACAAAGCACATACGTACAGTAGGTCAATCCCCAATACAGTAGGTCCCGTTCATTTACAGCACATTACATGCCATTAAAGACCTTCCAACCTGACGGGAGAAACAAAAAAAACGCTAAAAGTAAAACCAATCCAAAGATCTGGTTCATTTCACTGTTGTACAAAAATAAATAAATAAGTAGCTTAACAACTCTAATGGAATATGCTAGGAATGGACCAGTGTAGACTTTTTTTTGTTGGTGTTCCAAATAATAATTTCTAAAATACGTGCTCTACCAGCTCAGAAAATTTCTGACTCAAATGTCAAGAAACAAACCTTAGTAGGGTTTGGAAAAATATTAGACAAAAACTGCAAAATGCGATGATACATACAATCACAGCTAATGAAGCGCAATGCTTGTTCTATAAGCAGATTTTGAAGGGGTAAAACAATTATTTTTTAATAATTATAAAAAATTAAAAAGTGCTGAAATCCTAGGTAACTAGGACTAGGACAAGAACTAGAACACCAGAGACATACGCACAAGCACATCACATCACATTTCACAGTCAATCAGCAGCAAAACTATTCATGAAAAAAGAACAGCCTGGTAAAATAAATCAACGTACATATAAAAATATTTTTTTGATGTTGTGAGTTGTTATATCTAAATGAAACTGTACAAAATGTAAATAAAATGTGCTTCGCAACAACATGACCCAGAAAATGCCACCACAGGCAAGTTGTGTCAAAGTGTACTTAAATAGCTGATATTAATTTGTGGTAAATATGGTTATGTCCATTGTAAAATACTAACATGGACTTGTTTCTAAAGACTTCATATCCCAAGTGACCAAGAAAATTATACATTGACCAGGAAAAAGACTCAAAATAAATTAATTTGAGAAAATATATTCACAATTCAATCTTTACAGATAACCTTCCAAAATCACTACGACATCATGACAAAATACTCTAAATGTAGCTTATAAAAGAAGAGATTTGTTAAGGAGTTCACTATCATTGGCTGAGTCTGTTAGGGCTGTCGCTAAAAAGATAAAACCGTGTAGTCATTTACAGCATCTAGAGCGGAACTCAAAAAAGCCATACCCGACCCAAAATAAAGTATTAGACTGGCCTAAATCTGATACCATGCCACACAGAGAGAAACTCCAGGGGAAGGTGATAGTCATCTGCAGCAGCTCAGGGGTCCCGCAGAGGCCTCCAGGCTGCTGTCTGTGTCTGAGGTCACGGTGGGCTCTGTGGACATGGACGAGACGTCATTGATGGAGGAAGAGGAGGAGGGCTGGGGTGAGCCGTTGATCACTGCTGCACCTGTGCTATGTGAAACACGACAGTCAGTTAGATCACCCAAACATGATGTGTGACTATATGCAAATGGTAAATCAATTTAAATAAAAAATAATTAGCATAATCTGCATTAGACTAAGAGAAAATCGTCTTACTAACCTATAGGGGAAGGCTGACCTCGAATGACATTTTTTATCCGTTCTTCCCAATCCAGGACTTCTTTATAGATCAGCTCTGTAGAAGACAAAGAAAACAAAGAAAGAACAATTAGAATATAACGCGAGAGAAAGAACAGAGGCCTACACAATTTTTATCTAAGTAAGCCATTTAAGGAAATAAAGCTTTGTAAATGTATATATTTAGCACAAAAACCATAGGGATTTCATTTGGGTTTAATGAAATTAAACAGATGCATAAAATCTGGGAAAAAATGTATAGTAACTTGAAAATATGGTAATGAACACAATAATTTAATTACATGGATGAAAGGGATTGAAATGAAACCAATTGTTTTGTTTTACTCCAAATGAACTGATTCTGAACTGATAAAATATGGATCGAAACTGGCAACACTTTTAGGAACTTGCAGCATCGTCACACTACATACAGTAGCTACTTGTTGGAAAAACTAGTTTGTCATTGGAAATTTGAAAACAGCTGAGCTACTGTCATGCAGCTGAAAAAGGCAGTTGCATTGTTACTTAGATATTTAATGTCATACGCTGAACAGATGAACGAAGTCATGGAAACTGGCAAGGTTTAAGTTGACAGCACACGCTCCATGAGCTGAAAGAAATATCAATCTTTCTAATTTAAGCAACTGCCGTCAGACATTTAAACATGCTGAGGAGTTTATTAACACTATTCAATCAGGTGACCCCTGCAGACAAGATTTCGACCGCGTGTGCAGTGGGCAAATCATGTTCATTCTCAGCCTCTGGCACTTTCCTTTTGCATCGGATTTCACTCTGTGAACTTTAAAGTTAGAAAAACAAACCACCTTTCCATTCCTCCACTGTATGTTCCCTCTCAT